TTATGTGGAAGTTTCATGTGGCCTTGAGAAAAAGTAAACAAATGTTGGAGTCTGCTCCCCCCAGCCCCTGGACAGTCAGACCGACTCCTCACATGCCACCGCAGTAACTCCTTCCAGACCTCTGAGTGAGGACAAGTTTACAGCTGCCAGACATCAAAAGGAATAGCCCTTGTCTTATCATCTCCCTGCATAAATCATTATTTTGTGTGTATGTTTCGGATTGGTTGTTTAGTGATAAGATTTATTATAAGATACGGCCTTTTAAGATTCTGACTTGTTTTGAAGGAATGAAATATTTCAGAGTTCTTCCATAAGCTGACTTTTAGTATGCTGACTTCATTAGTTTTGGGAAGAACTGAAGACGGCCTGTAGTTATCAAGGCCTACCTGGACTGGAAAGAGTTTTCCTCTGCAGTTTCGATGGAAAACTGCTTCTCTTCCTCTCATTAATGTTGTATTTGCAGTGGAGTCGTGCTGACCTCTACCCCAGGCACGCTGATACTGAGCTGACAACAAGAGGGTTGAGCCTGAAATCGGATGCCGACCTTGTGGAACATTGGTGGAACAGAGATGGCACACCAGGTACCAGCGTCACCCATCAAAGAAATAGCCCCAGAGCGTTCAAGGGGCTTTAAGACAAGAAGAAAATGATCCCTATCTCGGGGCATCTTCTGCTGTGTCAGAGAGCCTGGGCATGGAGCTCCCGAGTAGCAACAGTGAGAAAATCCCTGGTAGAGCTGTGGGAGGGGCTTGCAGACACCACTGGAAGAGCTTCCCAAGCTGGCCTCATTACAGGGGTAGAAACAAATGTTGCTTCCTGTTTGGGCGAGAGCCAGGGATTCTCAGAAGTCATCTGTTCTCATAGCTGGGAGGAAATGAGAGCTGTGAGACAGGGCCAGGGCCCAGAAGATGTGACTGAGGCCTGCTCTGTTTAGGCCCAGCTGTTTGCACGTCAGAATGTTTCTGGGCTTACGGCATCTGTATCCAAAAACATCATGGCATAGGTCAAAATTAAAATATCCCATAGTGTGGGGATAAAAAAACAGGCAAGTGGCAATTGTAGTTTACTTTCTCTCAGCTTAGAATTTACCTCAGGCAAAATTGCTGATTTTTCTTTTCCAAATGTTATTTGAATTATATTGGTAGCATTTTTATACTGAGACTTTGGAGAAATTTCCATTATAGTAAGTGAATGTGTGAGTTGAGATGTCTGTTTTGTTTGTTTGTTTGTTTTTTATTTTTTATAAACATATATATTTTTTCCCCAGGGGTACAGGTCTGTGAATCGCCAGGTTTACACACTTCACAGCACTCACCATAGCACATACCCTCCCCAATGTCCATAGAGATGTCTGTTTTTGAAGGAAGAAAAGAATAACATTTAGTGGACAGGGCCTAGTGGTGTTCTAGGTACTTTCATGTATCTTATTTAATTTTTTAAAAAGATTTTATTTATCTGACAGAACAAGTAGGGGGAGCAGCAGAGGGAAAGGGAGAGGGAGAAGCAGGCTCCCCGCTGAGCAGGGAGCCTGAAATGGGGCTCGATCCCAGGACCCTGAAATCATGACCTGAGCCAAGGCAGACATTTAACCAACTGAGCCATCCAGGTGCCCCAGTGTATCTTATTTAATTTAATCTATAACAATTCTCCGAAGTAGGTATACTTTCTCCACTTTACAGGGGAGGAGACCTTCTGTAACCTTCTCAAGGTTACACAGTGCACCGGGATGTGGCCCCAGTGCTGGTACTCCTGGGCCCACACACCACTTTATTACACTGGGAGACATGTGGGATAGGAAGACAGGATGGCATTTAGGAGCATGGGCCCCAGAGGCTGACCCCTAAGCTTCTGCTTCTAATTTGCACATGTTAGCTGGGGGACCTTGGTGAATTTACTTACCCTCTCTGCCCCTCAGTTCCCTAATCTGTAAAATGGAAATGATAGTACTACCCACCTCATAAAGCTGTGAGCTGAAATTAGATTATGGCTTTTTAAAAAAGATTTTATTTGTTTATTTGACAGAGAGAGACACAGCGAGAGAGGGAACACAAGCAGGGAGAGTGGGGGAGGGAGAAGCAGGCCTCCCAAGAAGCAGGGAGCCTGGCAGGGAGCCTGGCAGGGAGCCTGACACAGGGCTCAATCCCAGTACCCTGGGATCATGACCTGAGCTAAAGGCAGATGCTTAACCCACTGAGCCACCCAGGTACCCCCCTCTAGGTTCATTATTAAGAGGGGACCTTTCAATAGTGATTTATAGATCAGAGAACATTCACGCATAGTGTATCTGTTTGTTGGAGTAGTAGTCCCCATGCTTTCAAGTGTGTAGCAATCTAATGATGTGCTTGTTAAAACTACAGGTTCCCAGGCTCTAACTTACGGAATCTGATTCAGTAGATCTGGGTGTGGGTCTAGGACTCTGCATTGTTACCATTACTTGTAAAACTGTTGTATTTGCTTAGATCTGGAAAAGATGAAGAGGTGAGTAAACAGACCTAGGGAATTAAAAAAGAACTAGGGATCGTACTTTTTAAGATATGTCAAATACTTCTGTTTGTATTTAATGCTAGTCAGGTATCTTAATCCCCTTTTGTAGGGTGTCTTTGAATGCAAGCATTCTTTTAGTGCATATGTGAACCCATACCTGGCCAGTCTCCAAATGTTGCTAGGTTGTTTATTTTTCTCTAATATCTCTGTCATAGCCATTTCTTCCTTCTGCTCCCATTATACTGTTATCCCCCTAGTTCAGGCCTTATGATCACGTACCTGGGTATATCGGTTAGCTTTTGCTGGGTAATAACACACCACCTCAAAACACAGTGGTTTCAAACAACCACCATGTATTTAGTCCGTCATTCTGTGGCTCAGTAGATTGGGCCTGGGTTCAGGAGCAGCTCTGTTGGTCATGTCCGAGCTCACCCAGGCATCTGTTGGCAGCTGGGACAGCAGCTCCACATGACCCCCCATCACCAGCCAACTAGCCTGGGCTCGTCCACATGGGGGCAGGACAGTTCCACGTGTGGTGGACGAGCACTTCCCAGACCTCTGCTGTATCCCTTTTGCTGACGTTCCATTAGTCCAAGCTGAGTCCCATAACCCACCCAGACCCAGTGGGCGGAGGAATAAAGTGCCCGTGAATGGAGGTGCTGCCATGTCACATCACAAGGGTGTGAGCAGAGGTAGAGTAATCGGTGCTCATTTGCACCGTCTCCTGAAGGATTACATACCCTGCCTTGCAGGCTTTTCTGGCTGTGGGCTCTTGCTTCTCCAAAGCCTCCCCTTTCCCGCTGCCATGTTCATTTTCTGTAAGCACTGCTTTTGAATTACGTGCCTGTTCATAAACCCCCCCCCCAGGGCCTCAGTCTTTCCCCTCCCCATTAGCTGGAAACTCTCCTGCCTAGCTTTCTGAGGTCTCCTTAGAGTAGCCTGACTGGAAAAGCAGAGCGTGCAAGACAAGAGAGAAAGAACTAGCAGCAGTCAGGGGAGGCTGGGACACTAGTCCAGCCCAGCCACAGCCTAGCTTTTCACTTCTCTCTCTCCATCTATGAAACGACAGAGTTTAGGTTTAAATCTGGAAGGTTCTTCTCAGATTTCAGATTTCGGCTGAGTACCTAGACAAACTTATTTCCTCTTACTCTGTAAATAAACCTTCCACTGCAGTAAGACCCAGCTTATTATTTTCCCACTGAATATTTGGGTTATGTGCCTCTTTGTGCTTTCATTCCCCAGGTTTTCTCCATGGGCGACTGCCCTTTGCTTGCTTGCTTGCTTGCTTTTTTTAAAATATATTTTTAAAAGATTTTATTTATTTATTTGACAGACAGAGATCACAAGTAGGCAGAGAGGCAGGCAGAGAGAGAGCACGGGGGCAAGGGGAGGGAGACGGGGGCAGAAGCAGGCTCCCTGCTGAGCAGAAAGCCCAGATGTGGGGCTCTATCCCAGGACCCTGGGATCGTGACCTGAGCCGAAGGCAGAGGTTTTAACCCACTGAGCCACCCAGGCGTCCCAAGGCTGATAACTTTTAAAACCAGCAGGAGGATAAGACTGCTTGAGCAGAGGTGGTGATGATGGGAGTGGGAGTGGGGGGTTGGAAAGGTGGATGTGTTTGTTAAATGTATCCAAGATAACATATACTTATTCAGCTGGTTAGTTGATAGAATATATCTGCAAAATTGCTTTGCAGACCTTTCCTCCAGCCATCCTGTGACTCTGGTTCTCGCCTCTGTTTCCTGCAGTGTTTATCCTTTTCTTCCGTAAGCTGTCACCATGACCCTGACAAAAGGTTCCTTCACCTACTCCAGTGGTGAGGAATATCGCGGCGAGTGGAAGGAAGGTGAGAGGACCCCCGGGGAATCAAGTGATGAACACTTCCTTTGGCTGAGAAGCCAACTGGATGAGTCTTCATAGTCTAATTCCAGGATTTAATCTGAATAGTGCCTTTCCTTTCTTTGATTTTAGGACTAAATAAAGGCATTAGAAAATGCCATTGTTTGCCCAATCTCCAGCAATGAGTTAAACCTTTCCACTTCAGAATATAAAGTGTTGTTTTTTTTTTAAGATTTTATTTATTTATTTGACAGAGAGAGATCACAAGCAGGCAGAGAGGCAGGCAGAGAGAGAGGAGGAAGCAGGCTCCCTGCTGAGCGGAGAGCCCGACGCGGGGCTCGATCCCAGGACCCTGGGATCATGACCTGAGCAGAAGGCAGAGGCTTTAACCCACTGAGACACCCAGGCACCCCAGGGAATTCTTTTTTTAAATACTCATGTACCAGGCAGAGTAAAATGAATTATTTTGAGTGCCTATAAAGTAGAAAATGCAGAATTCATTGCAATTACTTGGCTCCAGTGAATTTTAAAAGTTCAGGAAGATCTGGAAATTAGGACAGAGAGATACTCAAGAGCAAGTGACAGTCATTGCCTTGAATTTCCTGTGACAGCTCACTGCATTCGAAGTATCTAGTCACAGGATTGGTGAAATTCTTCAAAGCCTGAGATATATAGTCTGACCACTTCAAAGCCTCATGGGGCCAGTCCTAGCAAGCCACGAGCTGCCCCGAGAAGCCTCGACTTCCTACAGTTGTGCCAGTGAAGAGAAGTTCCAGCGGTTTCGACACGCACCCCATTCTTCTCACGTTAGATCCCTACAGCTCGTGAATTTTTGAGCCCTGAGAGGAGAAAGTGGGCAGATGGGATGTGCCCTTGCTCGGTACATCTCCCACCTTTCTCCTGCCTCCCCCACACCTGCCGTCCCTGAAATCTGGCCGTTGAGGGGCACCATTCTGCCAGGCGGTCTCTGTCCCAACTGCTGGAAGGACATGATTGCTCCTCCAGCATCTTGCTGTGTTCTGGTCAGTTCAGTGGGTAAGCACAGCCCTCCTGATATAACGAAACCCGAATCAGTATTGCCAGTCAGCCCGTGAGGTGTGCCCCCTAGCTTCACAGTGCCCTGTGGCACTATCTCCTCTCCGAGAGGCAGCAAAAGTCAAGTGGTGAGGGCTCTCCAGCCAGGATGTCTGCTGCATTTGCTTTCTTGCTCTGCCACTCAGCAGCTCTCTGGTCTCGAGCAAGTGATAGCCTCTCCTAGCCTTGCTTTCTGCATCTGTGAAATGGGAATAATAATAGTACTGTGCTTTCTGTGTCTGTGAATGGGAATAATAATAGTACCTCTTAACATTGCGAGAATGAGATAGGTTGATAAATGCAAAGCGCTCAGAAGAGTGTCTGACACGTAGTCAAGGCGCTATGGTAGTTAGTTTTATTTTCCAGCCCTCTTACTCATACCGAGAGAGACGTGCTCCACATCTGATGCTCGTGACAAGATGGGAAGGTCCCAGGAGCCAGATTTTCCTGGTGTCTGACTCTGGGTAGCAGTTGTCTGCCCCGCTAACATCACTGCCTCTCTTCATTCCCTTGTGGGTCGGGTGACGAGCGACAAGGGATGTTAGGCATTGAGGGGGTCCCTGAAGCTGCCTTATCCCAACCTGACAACTGTCTCTTTGTTCAGGCCGTAGACACGGTTTTGGTCAACTGATGTTTGCAGATGGTGGCACCTACCTGGGTCATTTTGAGAACGGGCTCTTTAATGGCTTCGGGGTACTGACCTTCTCCGATGGCTCAAGGTAAGTCCTGGTCATTCCTTTCTCAGCTTTGCTAGTGGTAAATAGCTGCTCAGACCTGAGCTTGGCCCAGGCCCTCTGAAAACAGGCAAGAAGTTCTTTTATGAGTTATTTTATAAATAGATCTAAAATTTGAAATGGCGAGGAGCCAAGTGACCTTCCACCCCACTGCCATTCTCTTGCGTTATCTCCTTGAGATTAGAGCCGCATATCACACGTGCTCTCTGGCCCTCCTCTGGGAGTGGGGTGGGGGGGCGGGGATTCTGAGGCAAGCAGAATCCGCTCCGCTCTTTGGAATTAATAGGTAACACCCACTGGTAGCTGCTTCACACAGTTAACCTGACAACTCACTACCTCCATCTCCTGTTCCTGCAGGTATGAGGGGGAGTTTGCCCAGGGCAAGTTTAACGGCGTCGGAGTCTTCATCCGACATGACAACATGACATTTGAAGGGGAATTTAAAAATGGCAGAGTAGACGGTTTTGGTAAGTCCCAGCCCCGTAGGATGGGAGCCCCGGGGTGGGAGCGTGCCAGGGGTGGAGGTACACCTGGTTAGCTTGGATGTTTCCCAGACGTCTGCCCATCAATAGGATCAGGCCCGATGCCCGCCTGTGGAACTTACTGGTTCAGGGCTCGGGAGTGAGGGCTGCAGGATTTCCTTCTCCACTGCTCCGTGATACCGAGCTGCTCTCTGAGTCACGCACGCCCTTATCATTTGCTCTGTTCCCCTCAAAGGCCTGCTGACCTTCCCTGACGGTTCTCACGGCATACCCCGCAACGAAGGTCTGTTTGAGAACAACAAGCTGCTGCGGCGGGAGAAGTGCTCCGCGGTCGTGCAGCGGGCCCAAAGCGCCTCCAAGTCAGCCAGAAATCTCGCTGCCTGACAGGCGTTGTGCACCCGTGCCCGGTCTCGGGCCACAGCGCAGGCCCCCACAATGGACTCGAGGTGAATAAGTGAACCGGATGTGAGAGAAGATGAGAATGCCCACGGAGCGGAGGCCTGGAGACGAGCCCCCTCACCTGCCAGGTGGGGATTTGATGACGAAAGTCGTGAGGACTCTGGCCCCCCTGGCCCGCAGCAGGGTCACCAGTTCTGTCTCTGCCTCTCTCCCTGGTTCGTATTCTCTGTCCCTAACGCCTCGGGTCGCCCAGTGCAGACCTGCTTCTACTTGATTTCCTGCCCATGGAGGCAGAATTTCTTCATTCTGCCTGTACTGGGAGCAGTTGATCCTAGCCCCAGATTAGGGCGAGTGCTTTGTGCTACCCTGGAGAAACAGGGAGAAACATAGGGGTGGCTTAGACAGCTCCTCAGTCCTATGAAAGTCAAAGAGTGTTTCTGTGTGTCGCCCCCTCTTTGGCTGCTGGTTCGCTTCATAACTCCGGGCCTTCCACTTTGTCTCCCCAGGCTGGTATCTGTGTCTGCTTGTCCCCCTGTGAAGGGTTTGGTAAGAATACGATTTCCCTCTCCCTTGATTGTACAAGCTGTCTTCCTTACCTGAGTTCCAGCAGCTAATTTGTGCCCTATTGTGCCTCTCTCCTTCCTTAGACATGGGCAGGATCCCTTTGGGGGACAGTCAAGAAACTGATACGAGGAGTCATCTCATAACGTGTATTTGTTACCCCGGGGCAGAGGACAGACATCTCTGGGCCACTTCAGGCCCTACCATGGAGTAACTGAATCCTTAGGGATGGCTTGGGCTGACACAGCCCCTTCCCACTGGACCCATAGCTCAGACCCACCTCAACCCCTTGGAGCTTGGGGAGAATTGGATGGGTTCTAGGACTGCAGTGAACCAAAAGAGAATTTGGCTCCTTGCGTTTGGTTCACAGTTAACTCTTCCATCACGAGCTTGGCTGTCAGCCCTGGGGGTCAGATCTGGATGGATGGGGCCTCTGCATAGTTTATGACAGAGGCCTCCAGTTACCCCAGGACCCAGATATGCCCACTTCACTCCCAGCCCCTTACCCTAACAGCAGATTGTGGTGGAAATTATAGCCCTGTGCCTCTATTTATTCTCCGAGTTGTACTGTAGAAACAAGTGTTTATGAGGAATAAACAATCAGCAGAACTGCCTATACTTAGTTTCTCGACTCTGGCTCTGCCTCCTCATGAATCAGCCCATTTGCCATTTCTAAAAGTTCATCACAGATGGGGTCTTGGAACCGACACTGCAGACTCTACTACACAGTACTTAATTCTCCATACCTCCGAGAGGTATGAGAGGTAAGAGAAGGGAATGACCAGCTTTTTTTTTTTTTTTTTTTTTTTTTTTTTAATCAGATGGGTTCAGATTGCCCAAACTAGAAAGTGGCAGAGCTGGGTGGGATTTGTATCCCGGTTTTTCTGATTCCAAATCACTTTCCACTGTACTTCTCTGGCCCTGAGCGTCATGAGTGCCCCCATCCTGAAACCAGTTATTCTCATATCTGCTGGATTACCTTGGGCAAGTCAATTCCTGCCTGGATTTCCCCTTTTCCTGCAGCAATACCTCCCCAACTGAGTTAATGTGCAGTGTTCACCTACCGTGCTAACCCCTTTACATGCGTGATCTTGTGGAGCCCTGGGAGAAAGGAACTGTTATAATCCCCAAGTTACAGATCAGATCAGGCACTTAAGTAGTTGCCCAAGGTCCCACCAACCCTAAGGGGCAGGTCTAAGAACTTAAACCCAGGCCTGCTTAATGTAAGCCCAGAGGCTGAGTGCTTTACCAGTACACCAGCCAGCCTCCCAAGCCCTCAATTTTTGCCCCATCCCTAAGCTGGATTCTCCTCTGAGCCCAGATCTTTCTGGATGTTGCCTGTGAGAAGAGCCCAGGTGCTAAGTCCCAAGCTTCAGTACCATCCTGATGGCCAATTTCAGTTGAAGATCGATACCTTTTATATTCTCTCCTCTAGCCTTTGTCCTAAACAAGGATCTGTTTACCTTTCTTTTTAGCCAGAGTAATTTTAAAAACATTCATCTCTGGTTTACTGCCACTAGTTAAGTATCACTGAATAAGGTGGAGAAAGCAGCCTTTTTGGCTAATGTGCTAAGGTGTTTCTAAATATCTTAGTTGAACATTTTTGCCTCCTACCTCCCACCCAGAACTTCAACAAGCCTTTCCCCTAGGCCACCACTGATCTAATACCTTCTTTGCTGTAGACTGCTAGGGCCTCCCTCAGAGCTGGGAGAAAGCAGACCTTGAAAGTTAAATTGCTTCTAGGCAATTCTTGACATCCAGGCAGGAAACCTAAGACCTACATGGCAGCAAGGTGTCAATTTGTATAAGGCCACACTGTTTTCAGTTATTCAACTTTATTGTAAGAACAAAGTATTATTTTTAACAAAGAAAGCACAGTGCCTAAGGCAAGAGGATGGCCAGGTCTGAGACCAAGTCTCTTTCCCTAATGTTTCAGACCAGGTTGACTAGAAGTCTAAAATGTAACATTTATCCACCAGGTGTCATTATTTACCAACTCTGGCAAGGCCCTGGGCCAGCTCCACGCTCTCTACAGTTGAGATCAAGGCTAGAGATGAGAATATGAGATGATCAAAATGGATTTAGGAAAGGCACTGTGTCTGGAATGTAACTTGGGGGCCTTTCAAAGGCCAGAGACGCTTTTCTGATTAGGTTTCCGAACCACACCCCCTCGTTCCTCTGGAAGGAGTCAGGTTCTTAGGAAGAGCCCTGGCTCCCTGCTGCACTGTGCTGGGCTTAGATGTGTACCCCCAAGTCTAAGCGGCCATCCCATCAGTAAAATACATGACCTTACTTTTGCCCCAGTTGCCCCCTGCTCATGCCGGCTGGTTGCCAGTCATGTGTCGCGGGGCACAGGAAGGCACGGGAGAGGGACAAGCAATTGCTTCTCCCCAGACTGAAGGTCTCTAGAGAGCCAGAGTTGAGGCTACAAATGCCAACGGTTCATGGGGCTGCGAGAATAGGAAATGGGTGTGCATGGCAGAGCCTGGGAGAGGCTCCCTAGAGGACTGAAGTAGGAAAACAGGCTTTGAAATCTCATACCCCCATGTGCCTCTTCAGCTGCAGGTACAGGGCAGGAAGCTGAGATGGGCTCAGGCCAGGCACCCGCCCTCAGAGCCAGCCATTACTGCTGAAGTCCATACGCAGAGCCTCCTCATCCATGGGGCTCAGCTCCTGCAAGGGGGCACGGCAGGGGCCTCCGTAGTAGCCGAACCAGTCCATGGTCTTCTTCAGCCCAGGGATCCCAAAGCGCCGGGTCACCTGTGGAGCAGGGCCTGTTAGAACAAACTGGGGAGTCCCTGCCTGCACATGTCTAGACACACGTGTCACTTTAGAAAGTTAGGGTTCCTCCCCACCTCCCCTGGTAAAGTAACTTTACCAAATCGGGGATACATTGGTTGATTGGAAATTCAGACTGAGAGACCAGAAGGCAGGGCAGCAGTAGAGAACACAATGCCAACAACTCAGATTAAGGAAGTCCCCTCTTTGGGTTTCAGGAGAAAAATCCACCCCATTAGGGAGAAACGTGGCATTCACTCATCAACCTGGGACCAGAGACGATAGTAAGGCTGTGGGTCTGTAGCCCGGTTCCCAGGGACCTAGGGCCAGGGCATAGGCCTGGGAGGCCAAGAAAGGGAAGGGTCTGTGAGAGCGTTGGCCATAGCCCAGACCTCCACTGGCCCTGCAGGAGGGACACTGATCCATGCATAGCTCCCTCCTGATCCCAAATCTGAAAAATGCATCAGCTGTCCTGAGAAATTCCACTATGAAGCCATATAGCACAAACTTACTACATCCAAGCAAATTTTCTTGCCTAAAAAAATGAGGGGCTGGACGACATGATATCTGGAGGGTTTTCCATTATGAGGGGGACTGGAAGCTATTGTCATAACTTAAAATCATGCATGGGGTCTTCTAGAAAATGAAGCATCAAGTTTCTTCGCCTTTGGCATAATAACCAGCAACTGGTTATTTCACGCTAATCAGAAGTGTTAGGTGAGGGGCGCCTGGGTGGCTCAGTGGGTTAAAGCCTCTGTCTTCGGCTCAGGTCATGATCTCAGGGTCCTGGCATCGAGCCCTGCATCGGGCTCTCTGCTCAGCAGGGAGCCTGCTTCTCCCCTCCCTCTCTCTCTGCCAGCCTCTCTGCCTACTTGTGATCTCTGTCAAGTGGATGAATAAAATCTTAAAAAAAAAAAAAAAGAAGAAGTGTTAGGTGAATCTCTGACTACCTAAAAGCTAGGAATGTAATCATTACTTACTAAAGTTTTATTTTGGAGGGAAGGTAAAACCTTAGAAGTATAGGTTTCACAAAGGGTAAAATAATAAAAGAGGTTGGCTGGGGTAAAGTTGAGAGCCGCTGATGAATGACTGATGACCATTTACCACTGGTGGCCAGGGAATTTTTTCTTGAAACGAGTAATACACCATCCTCCTCCTAGCCTGGCCCCAGCCATGATGTTCTAATAACCTCGGCTTTTCACCCAAAACATGAGCAGGGTGCGAAAGACCTAAGGGAGAGGATGGGAACAAGAAGTACCTAGAGAAAAGCCTTCTTCCACCGTAGGTGTGTGACGTCTCTGAGTTGCCCACTCCTCAGACCCACAGAAATAACTGAATGCTTTGGTGGTAAAGAACACAGAAAGTCCTAAATATAGCCAGGGCAGGAGGCCGGCTGGGTGGGAAGGCAGAGGAAGGACATTGTGTTAGAGCAGGGCAGGGCAACAGGGTGACATCAAGCTGCTCCTGGGGTGGCTGAGCCGACAGCCCAGGCAGCAGAAAGGTGTTCCAGGCATTCCTGAGTGTGTGCCCAGAGCTGGCTCAGGAGGGGGCCCCGAGGGAAGAGTAAGGCAGGATGGCACATGGAGAGCTAGCGGGGCAGCAAGCGTCCTCTCCTCCCAAGGGGCAGCCCACGGCTTCATCTGGCAAATGTGGAGATGACAACACCTACCCCATGTCACAAGAATCAAATGGGGAAAATACCACTATAAAACCACACCCCCAAGGGACCTACAAGCTCCTCCTTTTCTTGTCCTGGTGGTATGCTGGTTCTGGAACCTTCTCTCTGCAGGTGGGTGGGCATAGAGAGCAGAGGTCCCACCCCACTGGAGTGTCCAGTACATACCAGAGAGTCTGTGCCCTGATGGGGCTCGGCTGAATAGCCCTCATTTCTGTAGTTCTTGTGTCCTATTAATAGAGCATCCTATCCCAGGAGAACCTTCACACCCAAGGAGACTTGTGCTTGCTTTCCTCCTCAGCTGTCCTTTCTCTAAAGCTGAGTTCACCTGCTCCTTGGCGGTAAAGATCAAAGCTGGGAGAGAGATCTAGAGCCCACCACTTTACCCAAACAAAGCATTACTGCTTAGCCTGGGACTATCACCTCAGATGCAAAGCTTAAGGGGGTGCCAACAAAAGGTAAGTAAAATTTAGTGCCATATTTTCTTAAAAAATAAAAATCAATGCAAAAAAAGAAAATCCCACAATGAACAGTGTCCATGTTTTAAATAAAGACAGGATCTGAGGGGCACCTGCGTGGCTCAGTGGGTTGAGCCTCTGCCTTCGGCTCAGATCGTGGTTTCGGGGTCCTGGGATCGAGCCCTGCATCCGGCTCTCTGCTTAGCAGGAAGCCTGCTTCTCCCTCTCTCTCTGCCTGCCTTTCTGTCTACTTGTGATATCTCTCTCTCTCTGTCAAATAAATAAATAAAATCTTAAAAAAAAAAAAAAAAGACAGGATCCAACAGAACCATGCCCTGCCATATCGTGGCCCGAGGCAAAAGTAAACGTGTGCCCCTAGATCCGTGTTCTGTATGGTTTTTTTGGTTCTTTTTTTTTTTTTTTCTAGGAATAGATGCAGGAAGAAAATTTTTGATGAGGTTGTTTCCATTCAAGCCAGGAAAGTTAAATTATAATAAATTATGTTTTTTAATATAGATAAAATATTTAAAACTAAAAGAATGCTGTTTTAATGCACCTACTTTTAAGTTTTCCAATATATATTTTTGAAACAGTTTAATGTACTATGGGGGGCAAAAATCACCATTTAGAAAAATACTTAGAGGGGCGCCTGGCTGTCTCAGTTGGTAGAGCCTGCAACTCTCTCTTTTGTTTTTTTTAAGATATTTATTTATTTATTTATTTATTTATTTATTTATTTATTTGACAGAGAGAGAGAGAGAGAGACAGCACAAGCAGGTGGAGTGGTAGGCAGAGGAAAAGGGAGAAGCAGACTCCCTGCTGAGCAGGGAACCCAACCTCTCCACTGACCAGGGAACCCAAAGCGGGGCTGGATCCCAGAACCCTGGGATCATAACCTAAGCTGAAGGCAGATGCTTAACTGCTTCACTGCCTAACTGACTGAGCCACCCAGGTGCCCCGAGCCTGCAACTCCTGATCCTGAGGTTGGAAAAAGAAAAAGGAAGGGAGGGAGGGAGGGAGGGAAAATACTTAGAGTTTCCACCTCCAGAAAGATGGAATAGATGTATTTTTCCATATTTCTCCCAACAAATACAGCTAAAAACCCTTGGACATTATATAAAAACAAATGTAAGACTCTGAAAGGTAGAGAGAAGGAAGACAAGCTAGGGACTTCAGGACCCAAGGAACACAGAGATGAGTTCCTTGGCCTCGACTGGAAGCTTAAGAAGGCAGCAACCCTAAAATGCCAATGGGGACAGATAATACAAGCCCCCAACAAAAGCCTATTCACTCAAGCCAAGGACCAGGAAGGAGCAGCCTGGTAAAATGGAAAACTTTAAGACAATCACCACTCTACCCCAGCCAGGCATCCCCACAAAAACCATGGCCCCATCCCTACCATCCCCATCCAGGCCAGCAAAGGTTGAATTGGGAGCCAGAACTTCTACACGACTCTCGCAGGAAAGAGTGCCCTTCTCCACCTCCCCAACAATGGATGCTCTTAGCAGAGAGGAAAGTTAGGGCTTACACAGCACTGCCCACACCGAAGGAGGCCACCCCCACCCCAGACATATTTGTAATGTCAGTGGAGACCACATGGGAAGCATTAAGGAGGCAGTCCTACCCCTTCTGTCAGGGAGGTGTCCGTGGAAGTCAGGGGCAGAGCTATAATTTTAAAAAACCCTCCCCAAAAGAAATCTTCAGGCCCAAATGATCTCATGGGAGAATTCTAGAAAATGTTTAGAGAATATTTAACACCAATTCTACACAGACTCTTCCAGAAGATAGAAGAGGAGAGACTACTTCCCAGTGAACTGATGAACCTATTACTATCTGGAGACCAAAAATCAGACAAAGGCAGTGCTAAAAAGGGGAAAGCTATATACCAATATCTCCTATGAATATAGACAGAAAAATCTTCAACTAAGTGTTAGCAAATGGAACTCAGCAATATTTGAAGAGAGTTACACATCATGACTAAGTGGGATTTATTCCAGGGATGCAAGTCTAGTTCAATATTAGAAAACCATCCATGTAACTCACCATATTAGCCAGCTACAGAGGAAAAAAAAAAATCACACAATCATATCAAGGCAGAAAAGCAATTGACAAAATGCCTCCTGTAGTCCCACACAGACTTGATTACTGTAGGTACGTAATAAATCTTAAAACCAGGTAGACTAATTCCTCCCACTTTGTTATTTTTTTTTTCCAAAATTGCTTTAGCTAGTTTAATTCTTTTGCCTTTCCATATAAACTTTAGAATAATCCGGTGTGGTCTTGTAGAGGGATATACACACCAATGATGGGAGCAACAGAGAACCCAAAAATCAACTGGCACAAATATGCCTGACCGATTTTTTTTTTAAAGATTTTATTTACTTATTTGACAGACAGAAATCACAAGTAGGCAGAGAGGCAGGCAGAGAGAGGGAGAAGCAGGCTCCCTGCTGAGCAGAGAGCCCCACACGGGGCTCGATTCCAGGACCCTGGGACCACGACCTGAGCCAAAGGCAGAGGCTTAACCCACTGAGCCACCCAGGCGCCCCAGCCCAACTGATTTTTGACAAAGGTGCAAAAGTAACTCAATGAAGACAGATGATCTTTTCGACAATGATGATGGAGCAAGTAGATATCCAGAAGCAAAAAGACAAAACAAAACAAAAAAAGGAACCTCCACCTAAGTCCACACTCCATACAAAAATGCTCTCAAAACGTAAAACTATAAAACTTTAAGGAAAAGAAAATAGGGAAAAGTCCTCACAATCTAGTGTTGGGAAAAGCCTTCTTCCACTTGACATTAAAAGCATAAATACAAATGAAAATATTGATGAATTGGACATCATCAAAACTATTAAAAACTTTTGTTCTGTAAAAGACCTGTTCAGAGAATGACAAGACAAGCTACAGATGGGGAGAAAATATTTGCGTGGTATCTAAAATATTTGCTGGTATCTAAAAGATATAAAGAACTTCCAAAACTCAATGGTAAAAAGAAAAAGTCCAGGGTGCCTGGGTGGCTCAGTCAGCTAAGCATCTACCTTTGGCTTAAGTTATGATGCCAGGGTTCTAAGATATAGTCCTGCTTTGGGTTCCCTGCTCAGTGGGGAGCCCACTTCTCCATCTGCTGCTCCCCCAGCTTGTGTGTTCTCTTTCTCTCTGACAAATAAATAAAATCTTTTAAAAAACTCAATTATAGGGGCGCCTGGGTGGCTCAGTTGGTTAAAGCCTCTGCCTTCAGCTCAGGTCATGATCTCAGGGTCCTGGGATCGAGCCCCACATTGGGCTCTCTGCTCAGTGGGGAGCCTGCTTCCTCCTCTCTCTCTGCCTGCCGCTCTGCCTACTTGTGATCTCTATCAAATAAATAAATAAAAAATAGTAAAAAAAAAAATCCAGTTATAAAGTAGGCAAGAAACATATGACATTTAAGAAGATATACAGATGGCAAGTAAATACATAAAAAGATGTCCAATAGCATTAGTCATCAGAGAAATGCAAGCTAAAACCACAATGAAATGTTACTACACACCTATCAGAATGGCTAAAATAAAAAATAGTCACAATGCTTAAAGCTGGTGATGATGCAGAGAGGTCAATCATACATTTACACTGATGTGAATACAAAATGCCATAGGCACTCTGGAAAACAGTTTGGCAGTTTCTTAAAAAACTAAACATGCAACCATCATATGATCCACTAATTATTGATTTATCCCAGAAAAATGAAAACTTACATTCATGCAAAACCCTGTGCATGAATGTTCAGAGCAGCTTTTCATAGCCCCAAACTGGCAACACCCCAGCTGTCCTTCCACCGGTGAACAGTTCCACGAGCCGTGGCCCGGCCACACAGTGAACCACCATTCATTAATAAAAAGAAACGGGCTGTTGCTGCGTGCAATAACTTGGCTGGATCTGCAGGGAATTCTGCAGAATGAAAGCTAGCCAATTTCAAAGGTTGCAGACTCTATGATCCCATTCATATGGGCGTCTTGAACTGACAAAAGTATAAAAATGGTGAACGTATGGGTGGTTGCCGCAGTTAAGGAGGGGGCAGGGGAAGGAGGGGAGCAGGTGTACCCATGAAAGCATAACATGAAGGATCCTTCTGGTGATTAAAGACTCTGTATCTGGATACTGGTTGTGATATTGTACTTTAATTTTGTAAGATGTTTTTGGGGAAAACTGGGGGATGGATGGGAACATGGACTCTCTCTGTATTCTTTCTCTCTCTTTTTTTTTTAAAGATTTTTATTTATTTATTAGAGAGAGAAAGAGAGAGCAAGAGACCACATGCAGGGAAGTGGCAGAAGCAGTCTCTCTGGGATCATGATCTGAGCCAAAGGCAGATGCTTAACTGGTTGAGCCACCCAGGTGCCCCTGTATTATTTTTTACAACTTCATCTGAATCTACGATTATCTCAAAATTAAAAGTTTAATTTAAAATATGCATACAAATGTGTCTATAGGAAAACAGATTGTCCTCCCTGCGTCAGACGCCAATACGGCTCAGCACCGTACCGACGGGCTCTTGACAGGCATTCCATCTCAGCTCGTCTCCTTGACTTGCCCGATACAGAATCAGGGTACACCGTCTGACTGCAGACTAGATTACTCAAAGACAAAACTCTCCTGGGAAATCTGGGCTCTGAATACATCCAGCCTCCTAACACCTCCTTTACTCCCAATCATTCTGTTTTCCAGGATCTGAGCCCTTCTAGAGCTGAAGGAGAGGCCCATGGTTCACCCTCTCCAGGTAGCGTGTCTCTAAGGAAGTTCCCTGGATTTACTTAATGTCACCATGATCAGCCAGAATGTTTGTCTCAATGCTTACTCCAGGTCTAGAGGGCTGGAATTTTAACAGGCTCCCTACAGTGCAACCAACAGGGCTCAACTTTGGCTGAAGTTGTGATTTTCTGGAGAGGCACAAGGAGTTCCCATGCTGGGACGTACTCTAAAAGGACTTTCTGAAAGGGAGGAGGTGAAGTGGGGACTGCTGGGCCTGTCTGGGCTCCTACCCCATTGAGGACACAGAAACCCCCCCCTCCATGCCCTGAGGCCATCGTCCGGGAGCTCACCGCAGTGTTCGGCTCAATGAGGCGGTGCTGCAGTTTCTGGGCATCTTCCCATTGCCCTGTGAGGCACAGTCGCTCCAGCTGGCACACCTGAGCCCCCAGGACGTTGGCCAGGGCACACACGCCCCCCACAGCTCCTGCCCCACAGTAAGATTGCAAAACGTCAGCCAGAGCTGCTTCTCGCGGGCGATTCCAAATCCTGAGCCCCCGCCCCTCTTATTCTGGGGAGAAAGGATGTGGATTTCCATGCCGCTGGCTAGCCATGTCCAAGCCACGCTCTGTGAGTCGAGAGTCCAGATTTCCAGAGTGAAAAGCTGCCAGCATATCTGAAGTAGGATCCCACAGGCTGAAGGTCAGGGAACAGAGCCTGAAGGCTAACTTAAGGACAGTTCCTCCCCTGCACTCCTCACCACACCTCCCAGACTGAAGTCCCACCTGCCAGTTGACAACACCTCCACTAGCCTCTGACTCATCAGTCCGGGAAGGGCATGGAGTGGACGGGAAGCCTTCGCTCTTCTGAAATCTGATTCCTCCCCCTCCCCGGTGAATTCTGCCTGGGATGACGCTGGGGGTGGAGGGCAGTGGAAGGAGCCCTGGACAGAGTCAGGAGACCACGTATTTCCTCCCACTGGCAGCATGAATTTGCACAAGTCACAGACCTCCCAGTCCTCTGTTCTCATCTGGGCAGTGAAAACGGGCTGGCTGTGATCTCGGGAGGCCTTGCCACTCTGCCAACCTGTGATGTGATTCTAAGGCTAGTTAGGGGTGACCCTAAGCATGGTGGCCTCAAGACAGGAGAGTGGGAAATTTGGAATGAGCTAAGATAGCTGCCATTTAGTGATCCCCACTCTATGCCAGTCACTATGCAGACACACGGCCGAGGCTCTCACATTCTCACGACACCTCCCTGCTTTACAGAGTAGAGGCTCAGGCCAGAGAGTTTGTACACCCTGCCCGGCAGTACTCAGTAAGTGGCCAAGTCCCCCCACCTGCAGGGCCCGTGCTCTTTCCATCTACTCTGCCCTCAGGAACAAGGCTTCAATGGGTCCCCTCTTCTGGCCTTGCACTTTGGAGACTGCGACGTGGCAGAGGAGAGATGTGCAAGGACCCAGGCTGCAAGCCACAGTCTGTGCAGACCAGAGGAGAGGATCCACAATTGCCCCCTCAGCGCCGGACAATAACGCAGATCTGGATTTCCTGGGGGCTTCAGCCCAAGGGAGCCGATGCTTCCTCTCTTCCCGGCTCTGGGGCTCAAATCCAACCTGAACCCAGGGAGCCTGACCCACAGCAGACCAGCACGGTTGGTTTAGTGGTGACATTCCTCGGACAGAATCAGGCAGCTGAAGATCCCAGGCCCCACCCTTTAGGTCTGACAGTTCCTTCTGGCCTGGCCGCGGGGGGAGGGGAAAACACTCCTAGACCAGAGGAAAGGCCCCAAGGCCTCTGTCCTCAGAGGACGACTTACAAGGTGAGATTAGAAGAGATAAATTTGTTAAATAAGCAGAGAGCCTGGGACTTAGAACAAACTTCAGGCATCCCTGCTACAGCCCAAGGACTACACATGGCCACTGTCTTCTGCCCAGAAAGGTCACTCATAAGCCTCCAAGAGTCAGACAAGTGAGGCAAAAGGACCCTGCAGACCCAGCCCCAGCCTTCCTGCGGGGCCTGGCTGTACCACCCACCGCGACAGTATGAGAGCAGCAGGAGGCCTACCCACGGCATAGCTGGCCAGCAGGAAGCCAGCCGATCCAGCCAACACCTGGAAGTCCTGCCTCCTGGTCTTGTGAACCAGCAGCCCCAACCTGGTCACCTGCAACAGCAAACCTGTGTGAGCGTTAAGCCTCGAGCTTCCATGCCACGCAAGACGGGGGCTGGCCAAGGGTGGGGGAATGAGTGCCTCGGCCCCAGAGAGCTCCCCTCAAACTTGGACAGAGCCTCAGAGAGGCCACATGGTGGGAAGAACCCCAAAAGGAGCCCAGGACTGAAGTGGGTCCCAGAGCCTCCCTGAAGCTGAGAGCCCGGGAGAAGAGGAAGGACCCCGGCGGGAGCCACTGCCACTCACGTCACCACCACTGTCCTTGATGCCCACGATGTTTGGGTGCTGGGAGAGCATGACCACCGCATCCACGGGCAGGTCCAGCCCCGTGTTGGCTGGGACACTGTAGAGCACCACAGGAATGGGGGAGAGGTCAGCGACCTGAGGGAGGCAGAGAAGAAGGGAGAGGCAGAGGGCAGCTGCCGCAGGCCTGAGGAGCCCCAGGCACTGCCCACCACCAGCAGCTCTGGGCCTGGGTCCCCGCAGGGCCTCCTGGACAGGCCAACCTCCTGGACTAGGAGTTATAGTGCTGTGTTCCTTGCTTATAAATGATAATAATAACATTTCATGAGAGCTTTCTATGTGCCAGGCTCAGTTCTCAGTCCTCTGTATTTCGATGGAATTAGGTCCTTGCAATGACCCCATGAGGAAGCCACCATCATTTCTCCCCTGTGAGAGGTGAGGAAACAGCCATACAGTGTGGCTGCTCAGTCGCCCAGCAGCATCCCTCCCCGTTCCCCCAGATGCCATTCATGGGAAACGGGCTCTCCTCTTGGGCCCCAGCTTCTCTGTCTCTTCTCCTCCTCCAGCCTCCTCTTGGTCGCAGGCCTCAAACCCATGCCCACTCCTCACACCCACCTTGGTATAGTGGTGAATGAGGGCCGCACTGCTCATGCGGCCACGATAGTAGCAAGGGGTCACCACGATGGCAGCATCAGCCCCAACCTGGGCCATGCTCACAGTCATCTCCACGGTGGCTTGAGTGGCTATAGGAAGAGAGAGGGAGTCTTCCCTCTGTGGCCTATAGGCTACAGCAGGCAACATGGCGGGGGACAGCAGGAGGCAGAAGGGCAGGGCTAGGATCCCAGGGCAAGCAAGGGTTCAGAAGAGACAGAGCCAGTAGCCTGAACCAGCCCCAGGGCCAAGGAACCTGGCTCCCCACCAGCCCCAGGCACACCCCCCCAACCCCCCAAGCCCAGAGCACCGTGGTCTCACACTCGCAGCCGGAGCCGGCTAGCAGGAGTTTGTCCTTGGGCATGGCCTGGCGGACTCGGCTCACCACCTCCAGCCGCTCGCTGCTGGTCAGGAAGGGAAACTCGCCATTGGAGCCCTGGACCACGAAGCCTGCAAGAGAGGTCCCATCACAGCCAATGCCTTCCCATCCTCTGCAAGCAACCGGGACATTGGTGGTACATGCACCCGTGTTCCTACCTCCCCAACACCATAGCTTTTCACACATTTCCTTCCCATCTTTGTCCTGATGCAGGCAGAATGTTTTACCCAGTTCTGACGGCAGTGTCCGCACCATTTTCTTTGTGTTAATGAACTATCTTAGCTATACCCCAAAGAATAGATAATAATAAAATCCACAGGTGTGTACCCAGGACCCATGGCAACCCTCCCCTGATCACCTTTTTCTTCCTCTTCTAGCTGTCCTGACTTGGGTGTCATTGTTCCCATTCATGTCTTTATCCCCTTAAGATGTACATATTGACCCATAAACAAGACACAAGACGTATTTTGCCATGTAAGTTTTACAGAAACTGAATCAAACTCTTAACAACGTTCTGCGGTTTGCTATTTGTGCTCAAGATCATGTTGTGACCTTTGTCCACAGCAGTACACAGTTCTGGTTCATTCATTTTAACTGCCATTATATTCTAAGGTGAGGTTCGACGATACTTTACTTTTCATTCTCCTGTTGGGGATATTTAGAATGTTTCTTTAGTTTTGCCATCACAAATAATGCTAAAACAAACACGTCCACTAAAGTCTTCCGTGCCCATGTCTGAGCTGCTCTACAGTTCACTTGGGTGTGTGACTGCTGAGTCACGCTTCCGTGTATCTTCACGTGCCAAACGTCTGCCTCATTAGCTGGTTCGCACCCCGTTGGCTCATGGAAGGGTCTGTTAGTGCTCCTCCTTGCCAACACTGGGCAGAATTCATTTTTGCCAATTTTCTGGATGAAAGTGAGAATTAATTTTTTCCAATTTTCTGGGTGAAAAGTGACATCTCGTGATCTTATTTTGCATTTTCCTCTTTGATCGATCACCTGAGAGGTTTCCAATGCCACCCCGTAAGGTGTCAACCCTTTCACATCACAGAATTGATGCTCTTTGGCTGAATCCGAAGGGAATGTTAGTATAAAACCACTTTCCTCTCTGCTTCTTTCATTTCACTTTCTCTTTCCTCTTCTTCCTCCTCTCTACTCCATTCCATTCCAAAAACAGTGTTCTAAAAAAGGCTGACAAATACAGCCCGTGACACAACAAGATTATTAATAAATAGGAGACGGCTTGGGAGAAAGGAAAGAGAAGAAAGCTGGGGGGCGATACTGATCCACAAAACCCCTGCAGGCAGTTGAGAGACGGGCCTTCGCTTTGATTTGGAGCTTCCCGACAGTCAAAGCTAAAAGGGAAATGTGGTCAGCTGACAGATCGTGGAACGCAAGATAAAAGCAAAGCAGCTGCCCCAGAGACACACAGTTTCCTGGCATCGGGACCAGGAGAGACTGTTCCCGTGAGTCATCCTTAGGGGACATGGTGTGATGGAGAGTCAACTTTTCACCACAAACCTTTTTCCATGCTGTTCACGAAGGCATCAGATTCCACGGGGTGGATTGCCACAATGGGTCCCTGGATATGTAGCATTTTGGTAGCATTGCCAGGAGCATCTCGAGGCAAATAGTTTTTGGCTTCTGTTGTGTTACCTCCTAGGGGTCCATTTCTCCATGTCAGGCCAGGAGCCTCCTTCTGTCTTGTTACAAAAGGTGCTAGTGGTTTCTCAGTGGGTTCCCCTGCCCCCAGCTGTGGGGTTGCCAGCCCCAGAGAGGAATGGACCAGCCTCCTCTACTTAGAGGTCGAGGATTCTGAGACTGAACTTTTGCCCCTCCCTCTATGGAAAAGGCTCCAAAGACACCTCCCTCCCTCCGAAACCCTGCCGGCCACCGGGCTGGGCCAGTTCCTGCTCCAGTCACTTCTTCAGCAGGGCTCACTCTTCCCTAAGCCCCCTTCCATTCTGGTGGCCAGTTCCAGGGACTCCTGGACCCAGTAGTTTTGTACTCTCAGAGGGGAAGCAGGGCCCTGGACTCAAGACTCTCCCGGTGGCCTTTCCCTTGTCTCAAGTAAAGGAGCATGTGACCCAGGCCTGACCCCTAAGGAGGAAATCAGGCCTGGCCGGGGAGGCGGGAGTATCACAGAGTCAGGGAAGGACTCGGACCCAACTCCCCTTTTGAGTGAGTTATATCATGTCTCTGAGTCCCCATTTCCTTTTCTATGGGATGACAATAAAAACATTTTGATGTTTGGGGAGCCTGGGTGGCTCAGTGGGTTAAAGCCTCTGCCTTTGGCTCAGGTCATGATTCCAGGGTCCTGGGATCGAGCCCCACATCGGGCTCTCTGCTCAGCGGGGAGCCTGCTTCTCCCTCTCTCTCTGTCTGCTTCTCTGCCTACTTGTGATCCTCTGTCTGTCAAATAAATAAGTAAAATCTTTAAAAAATTTTTCAATATTTTTAAAGGCCCAGACAAGAAAATGTACAAGAAAGCACTTCGAAATCTTTAAAATGATGCTGCCAACAGCCCCCTCCCTCTTCTGGGTGGGATATCCAGTGTTAGGCCTGCTGTGCCTCCCCTGGTGTAGAGAGGGGACTAGAGGAGGGGGAGGGCCAGGGTCCTGGATGGGTCAGGAGTGAAGACAGTGGGTGTTGGAGGAGCAGTGTGGTGGAATGGCTCAGATGCATAGACTGAACTCAGGAAAGACTGAGTGTAATTCTCAGTGCAGGACCTCATCAGCTATGAGATTTTTGGGGGGTGGGCGGTAAAATGGCTTCACCAAACCTCAGCTTCCTCACATGAAAAGTGGGGACCATACAGTGCCCTCCTTAAAAAGTTGTGAGGCTTAAATGAGATACTATTTGTAAAGTGCTTAGATTAGAACCTAGCAGTGTTCGCTGAGAATTAACACTGGTACAATACCAATGGCAGTCTTTGAATTTTGTTTGAAACTTTTAAAGATTCCAAATTCATCAGCAGCTAACCTGAGATCTTACGAAATAAACTTTTAATAAGGGATTTAAGGTCTTCCAGATAAATGCATGCATTTTACACATTTTTGCAATCACTTTCAGAAGCCACACCTTACCACCCTTGCTTTTTTTTTTTTTTTAAGATTTATTTATTTGACAGAGATCATATGTAGGCAGAGAGGCAGGCAGAAAGAGAGGAGGAAGCAGGATTCCCGCTGAACAGAGAGCCCGATGTGGGGCTCGATCCCGGGACCCTGAGATCATGACCTGAGCCAAAGGCAGAGGCTTAACTCACTGAGCCACCCAGGCGCCCCACCACCCTTGCTTTTTGTCTACTTTGGGAGTCTCCAACATTTTCTAGAGTGACTGAATATTTTTTTTCCATTGACATTTTTGTTACAAAGCATTTTTTTTACATTTTTTATTTGATAAATTATTTTTAATGTAGGCCTCATACACAATGTGGGGCTTGAACTCATGACCCTGAGATTAAGAGTTGCAAGCTCCACCAACTGAGGCAGCCAGGCACCCGTTATGAAGTATTTTAAATTTGAAGTGTATGTATATATATATATATATATACACACACACATATGCACACACACATATATATTAGCATATATATAAAGTCACTTATTAGTAATTTTAAAAATGTTCAAATACTGGGGCATCTGCCTGCCTTAGTCAGTGGAGCGTACAACTCTTGATCTCGGGTTTGTGAGTTCAAGCCCCATGTTGGACGTAGAGATTACTTAAAATCTTTAAAATAGATGGATAGAGGAAATCAAATACTTCCAATTATGCCCCATAAAATCAATCAACAACGTTTAGGGTGTTTGTCGATTTATCCATCTTTTGGAAGGATCTTTCAGGGTGCTTTCTCCTGGGAGTGTGAGGCCCACAGGCTGGAAAACACTGGTAAGTTTATTAACAGATACCAATGGTACATTTCCGTGTAAAGGAGCCGCTGGGGGTTAGACAGTGCTGTGTAGCTGACTTCTCCCCACTATCATGGGAGAGACAGCTGCCTCCCTTGAATTCCCTTACTGGAGGTCACCCCTTACCCCAGAAATAGCTTCTTGGGACCCAGGAAGAGGAGGCAGGGGGAGTCCCAGGCTTGAGGGAGGGTACAGAGTCAGGACATGTGGTAAGAAGACAGAGGTAAGCATGAGAGATGGAGCCCTCCCAATAGGGCCAAGGGGCACTGGTCAGAGGGGCAGCACAGGGGAGGACTCGGGGTCTGAGCTTTGGAGTCAGGCAGAGCTGGGCTCTAACTCCAGCAACACCACTGTCTATGCCCTGTCAGGCGAATCACATCTCTGAGCTCAGGGGTCTCATCTGCAAGACGGAGATAACGCAATACTGTCTCCATGGGACTGGGCTGTACACTTCACACAGAACGTGCCATATGCTAAAACTAGAAAGGAAAAAAAAAAAAAAAGAGGGAGCTGCTGGTAGTACTAGTAATACTCCCAGTTAGTGCTAGCAGCAGCCACAGCCACAGCCATAGTACGATGAGCAAGACAGAGTATACGGCACAACAGCTCTGAAGGTAGGCAGGGGAAGGCACTCATGGGGATCCCAGTGGCCCCGGAAAGCAGGGAGAGAGCCCTCCAGTGCAGGACTTGAGCAGCAGTAGACAAGGTGAAGATGACACCAAGAAGACAAGAGACCCACAGCCCACCTTGCTTACTAGCTCCTGAAAGCCTGTCTCTCTCCCCACCTCCTGACACCTGGCTGCTCCCTCCTTCCCTGGCCACCAATGGGCTGGTGGGTGCTGAGCTCACAGGAGACGTCTCATCCCCAGAACCTGAGACCCGGGGAAGCTGATTTATGGAGTCTTGAATCAGCCCAGCAAAAAGCCCAGGCCAAGGGCCTCATGAAGACGACTGTGGGAGTAGGAAGCCTCTCCCCGTATCCCCGCCCAGTCCTGAGGCTGGCCACAGAGACCCCCAACTCAGAATGAGGGCATACAAGGCTTTATTGGCTCAGTTCCAGGCATCTGGCGCCAGTCTGGGGCTCTCAGCTTCTCCTGGGATCTGCCTCGCCTATCTTCTCTCAGTGGGTCTTCAGGGGCCCGCTGAGTGTGTCTCAGCTGCTTCCTTTCCTTCCATCTTCCCCTCCATCAGGAGCCATTCTCTGCAGCAGACCCTCAGAGACTCGAAGGGGCCCAGGAGCTCTGTGGGGGGCTGAGGAGAAAGGGGTTTGGGTGGCAGCCTCTAACCCTGGGCCACACAGGGTGCCCCACAGGAGAGAAAATAGGCCTGCAGTCGTGTGCCAGCCCTGTCGGGGGAAGGGGATCTCCATCTGTGGTTAGGTGGCTTCAAAGGGGTGGTAGGTCTGCTGGCTACGGTTGGGCAGACTGTGGCTCTGGTGGCTCTGATAAGCCTGGTGGCCATGGGGACCATGGCCATGGAAAGTGTGCGTGTGGTTCAGGCCAGCTACTGTGGTGTCTCGCTGCATGAGGAAGTTCCCCTTCAGCTTCAACTCCACCTCCTCAAGGGCCTTCAGCTCCTCCTGGTTGATGTCTTTGGACTCCAGGTGGCCTGAGTTCTGGTACGTCATAGCGCGCTGCAACATGGAGTTAGCCAGTTGCTGTCCCAGGTTGTCAATCTCCTTGGTGCAGGCAGCCACAGCAGCCCACGTGGCTGCGTCCGTGGACGAGGATTTTCCTGACTCCCTGTGGGTCTCTTTGGTCACCGAGGAGCCAGACAACCTCTGCTTGGTGGTGAAGGCCTCCCGGTGCACGGCTGTGCCCACCTCGCCTTGCCTGGTGGTGACGGTCTCCACATGCACCGTGGTGCTGGCCTTCCCGCTGCCGCTCTCAGGGGGAGGCGTGGTGCTGCTGCTGCAGGAGGCCAGCTTCTCCTCAGAAAGGCAGCTAAAGTGCGATTTAATCCAGTTCTCATTCTTTGCTCTGTGACCTTCTGGTGGCTCCTGCTCTTCCTGTGAGGACACAAGGAATGTCTTCCGTCTCTTCTTCCTCTGCATCCACAGCATGAGGCCTCCACCTCCGAGTAAGAGGGCAGCCCCCAGCACCACCTTGCATGATGGTTGCTGGATGAGCTCCAAGATGGCCTCCAGGACCCTAAGCCAGGCAGGCAGAGCTAAGAGCACACTGGGAGTGAGGGAGCCTGGATGGTCTGGTTCATGCTTGAAAGGGCAGGTTCCCTGAGGCTGTCTGACAGGCAGGCCACCAGTGGGACCCTTCCTAGGATGCCCCTCCCACCTCAGCAATGAAGCCCATTGTGAGGAAGGTGGCTAGGGGGCGGGGTGGGGAGAGGCCACAGCATCCCTCCCATCCAACCTGGCAGGTGTTTCCTGAGGCCCAAGTCCGGTCTCCCACGCTGACAGCTGTCCCCAAGGTCAGTGGGAAACTAGCTTCCCCAATTCTGAGTCCCTTCTGCCTTCTGCTTGTAACCCATTCTGTGACTCAATCCTTCTTCTTGTGACCCATTCTGTGACTCAATCCTTCTTCTTTTCCAATCTTTGGTTTCTCTCCCTCTCCATCCGGTGGCCCCCAGGGGGCAGGAGCCACTGACCACAACTGAAGGACCCCCTTGGTTGGGCTGGCCTCCATTCCTGGCAGTCTGACGTCGGTGTCTCCTTTCATTTAGGGCCACCCCTGCTGCCAGCTGAACTCATTCCATCCCCATTTGCAGCCCCAACCCCTTTACAGAGCAGGGTCCAGATGGAAAGGGGCCCAGGAAGGAGCTCATTCTAGAATAACATGAGGTCACAACTGAGAGGAGATAAGCAGTGAGCTGAGAAGGCAGAGTGGGTAGGATAAGGGTCTTTACCAGATCCCAGATCCCAGGGGCCATTCCAGGATGGTGGCTGCTATGTCTTGCCTTAGTGATGCACCTGCAAACCCAGAATTTGCCCCCCTCCCCCTGTGCCTTCGTTAAATAGGCACAGTTTAGATGCTGAGCAGGTGGGCCACCTGACCAGACTCTCTGTAGATACAAACAATGGAGAGTCTGACCTATAATCCCAAATTACATCCAGAGCCTCTCAGGGGTAGAAACAAACCTGGGCTCCTCTATTTTTCTCCCAGAGGCATCTAACACACTTTTTAAAAAACACATTTCACTTTTAAAAAGCAAATGCCGGGGCACCTGGGTGGTTCAGCCAGTTCAGTGTCTGCCTTCAACTCAGGTCATGATCCCAGGGTCCTGGGATCACACCCCACATCAGGTTCCCTGCTCAGCGGGGAGTCTGCCTCTCCCTCCGCTGCTCCCCCTGCTTGTGCTCTCTCTCTCTGTCAAATAAATAAATCTTAAAAAAAAAAAAAAAAAGTAAATGCCAAAACAGGGTTGTGAAAATTGTGATTTCTTAAAAAAGATTTTATTTATTTATTTGACAGAGACACAGTGAGTGAGGGAACACAAGCAGAGGGAGTGGGAGAGGGAGAAGCAGGTTCCCGGGGAGCCCAGTGTGGGACTCGATCCCAGGACCCTGGGATCATGACCTGAGCCGAGGGCAGATGCTTAACAACTGAGCCACCCAGGCTCCCCATAAAATTGTGACTTTTTAAAGCAAAATACTTCTATTTAATTAGAAGTATACATACTAAGGGAATAAGACATATGCTCAAAGTTTTATGGGAAACATCATCTCCCTAGTCCTGCTGAAGTAGATCTATGTTGTCTGCTGACCTCATTTGGAAATAACAATTCAAAGTTCATCTCTGAGGTTGTTTGTGGGAGTGAGTTCAGGGCCAAATGGCCCCTCTGCAACAATTTTACCCTCCAGTCTCCAGTTACAACTTTCATTTAAAAATGATACTCTTTATACAAATCATCAGTAAAAATTTAACAATGCAAAATGAGAAATAAAGAGAGCTACACAGTTTCAGGCAATACTTTCCAGAAGAATCTCTAACTGTTCACTGATTCATCAAGGGCAGATTCCTACCTCCCCTTTAGATGACCTTTAACTTACTGCAGGAGGCCCTGGCAATGTGGTATGTGATGGCTTCCTCCTCTGCTCCTGAGTGTTGGGCAGCAAAATCAAAGTGGGAGACCAGAATAGGGCCAGAGAAACACCATCTGTAGAGCAAAACTTGTTCACGGCTCCTTTCCCAGGCATTCTGGCTGCGTCCTGGGAGCAGGGACAGGACCCTGTGGGCTCTATTCTTTGTGCCAGGACCTCACACTTGAGCTCTTGGGGAGGAATGCATTAACCCTGTGGCTCAGTTCCATTCTAAAATGAAGAAATCAGAGAGGTTCAGTGATTTCTCCAAGGTCGCCATAACTGACAGATCCAGGATTCTTACCCAGGCCTTCTAACTGTGGATGCTGAGCTCTTTCTACCCAGCCCACTGCCTCCCTGGTGTGTGGGTAAAAGAGAGATGGTGCAGGAGCAGGAACCTGTGTGGGTTGCATGGGAAACAGGCTAGTGGGCACCCCACGAGAACAGGAACTGGAGGTACCCTTTGCCCATGCCTGTGCTCCTGGACAAGCCTATGCCCTCTGCAGGAGTGGATGAACAGGTAGGAGGGAAGGAAGGGTCCAGAGAAGAGCCTGGAAGTGTCAGTGGATTCTCTGGGTCGCAGGAAGACACTGGATGCAAGTTCACCCCACCCCCAGCACCAGGGTGTCCTTGAACCTGGAGTGTGAAGCAGAGTCTTCCTGCCTCTTAAGATTCAAGGAGTGAGGGGTGCCTGGCTGGCTCAGTCAGTGAAGCATGTGACTCTTGATCTTGGGGTCATGAGTTCAAACCCCACACTGGACGTAGAGATTACTTAAAAAAAAAACTTTTTTTAAATAAAAGATTCAAGGAGCTTCTCCCTTTGCTTCAAGAGACCCTGGCCTCCGTGCAGACTCTCAGGCCCCAGCGAGCTGAGCCTGAGCAGAAATTTACTTCAAGTTTGTGTCACTGCTCACTGTGGGCATCCACAGGGCATTCACCGTGCCCTAGGGAAGGCTCGCCTGCACCTCCGCCCTGAGATGTGGATGGGGTTTGGGTCAGGCCAGCAGTCACTGTCACAAAGCAGCTCCGACCACAGTGGTCCTAGTGACTGTGACCACTGGATCTGTAACTTCTAAGGTCCATCACCCTTCCCTATTCACTGTGTGCTTTCGTTTGCCCTCTCTCGGATTCTTCTCCCAGCCAGCTGGCGATGTGGGCGTTACTACTCCCAGGTGTCAGATGGGGAGACTGAGGTTTAGAGAGATGATCTCACAGCTAAGTCAGCGGTGGAGTTGTGATTTGAATCTAGAGTCCACCGCCCCGCCTCAGTCAGAACCTCTCCATTTCCAGAGCTGGTGCCAACTGGACTTTATTTGTTGTCCAGCAACTCAGTGGTTGGTGCAGGTGGAGTGAAACACCTCAGCGTAGTCCTGCAGTCAGACTTGGGTTCAAATCCCAGCTCCGCCATGTGTTAGGAATGACCTTGGGCGAGCGACTGTGTCACTCTGAGCCCCAGCTTCCCATCTGTGAAATGGGGCTAGTGAGGTTACCGCCTCAGGGACTTGTCACGGGTGACAGACGAGGGTGGGCAGGATGGGGGGAAGTGACCCCTTCTTCTTCCCTTCACTTACTGTGGCTGTGGCTGTGTTGCACATTGATTGTTACAAGGGTCTGGTCCCTGACCTCGGTGAGGGGAGACCCATGTGTAAAGAGAGAAATGAGTCAGAGGATCCAGAACAGGAATTAATTCTGCTGAGGAAGGCTTGGCTCAGAAGAGAGTGTGCAAACAAGGCTTTTAGGGAAATGAGCCCACTGGCTGGGTTGCCACGTGACACCCCTCACTGCCTTCACAGCCACACAGTGTTCGGTTGACAAGGACTTCCGTACCCATTATCTAGTCTGAGCCCCACAATAATGCTGGGCTAGGAAGGCACTCAGGTAGTTGACAATCGGGGAAACTGAAGCAGACGAGACTCAGTCAAGGTTGCAAGCTAGCAAGGAGCTTCCTGACTCTTAACTCCAGAACGGTCCCCTCTGCTCCTCTCCCATAATAAAATGACCCCTGGGCACCTAACTGTCTCTGAGCAGCTCCCTGGCTGAGGAGCCTGGGGTCATTCCCATCTTCCCCCACTCCCCCAGAGGACAGGTCCCACTTACCTCGGAAGGGGAAGGTACCCAATTTGTGCAGATTCTCCTCCAGTTTCTCATAGTCCACCTCTGCCGTGGCAGTGAAGGGGGTGGTCACAGGGGGGTAGATGCCTGCAATGTCCACCTTCCTCCCCTCCCCCGAGGCCCAGCCCCCCACCTTCTTGGACAAGCCCCTGCTCAGCCCCTGCCTCACAGAGGACCAGATTCCACGGCCCAGCATCTCTGCGAGAGGCCCGAGGCCCAGCTGGTTTCTGTCCCTGTGTGACACGGAGTTTACACTCCTTCCTACCCTTGTTAATGATCAGTGTGTCTAGTTAAAAATTTGCTGCCCCCCTGACTGTTGGAGCTGGGGTAGGCCTGGGCTGAGCGTCCCCAGGGTCAGAGGCTAAGCCTGTAGGCCCCATGGCCATTCTCCCCTTAGGGAGCGGCTGGACAAATGCCACAGTCCAGTGTCCCTCTGGCCAGGCGCGGGGGCGGGTTCCTGGAGTACGACCCCGGGGAGCTTCTCTAGTGGGGGCCGGGTCGGGCCCTCCTCCTCCTCCAGTTGCCAGCCCCGCCCGGAAGGCCGACTTCCGCTTGTAGGGCCGCCGCTGGCGGAGCCGATTGGCTGAGCCGCCCCTGCCCTGCGGGGTGGAAGCGTGGTTGGTGAGCGGCAGGCTGGGAATCGTGACTCCCCGCCGGCGCTCCAAGGCCCTTGATCCCCTGCTAGGCTCCTCCTGCGCGGGCGGGCCGCCAAGTGATGAGCCTGCGCTGGCCACACACGGCCCTGCGGGACAGCGGTCACCAGGACGGGGGGGGCGGGGGCGCAGCGGAGGTGCCGGGAGCAGGTGACCCACGCTGGGATTTGGGAAGAGCGCTGGCAGGAAAGAAGCAAGAAGACGCCCGGGTAGGAAAAGCCATAGAGCTGGGTCCAAAGAGCTCCAATCCCCCTCTTCCCTGAACCTATCTCCTTGTTCCATTTTTCTTCATTCCTGAATGTTGCAGACACAAATGGAAACAAACATCACCAATTGCAAACACTTTTTATTTCTTTTATTGCGGTAGTTTGTGGGTGTCCCGAATCGCACGCAGAGGAATGGCAGGGTCCTCGGCTCTGTGGGCTGTTCTTATGACCCTCTGGCTGCGCGCAGGGGACAGCCTGGGTGCCCAGCTGGCCTGGGCCAGGTGTTTACTGGGCTGGCACAGGCTGTGGGGGCTCCTGCTGGGTCTCCGTGGGATCCTGCAGCCCATTCTGCTCTGACCCTGGCTCTCCCTCCGGGGGCTCCAGAGCCTGCCGGGTATCAGCTTGCCACAGCTGCACCAGGTCCGTGGGGGTCTTTCCTGCCTGGGGGAACCAAGCGGAGATCTTGTCACTGCTCAGAAGTTTGTACCAGGAGGTTCCCTCATCTATACCGGGGGTTCCAATCAGGGGCAAGCAGCAACATTTAGAATGTTTGTGATTGTCACAGTGAGGGGTGTGAGCACTACTGGCATTTGGTGACTAGAGGCCAGGGATGCTGCTTAAAGATCCTGTAATGCACAGGAGCGTTCTCTCATAACAAATAAATTTCCAGCCCCAAATGTCAGTAATGTCCTGGTTGAGAAATCCCCACCCACCTCCTATGCACAGCTTCCTGACTTTCCCACTATCCCCTTAGTCTTTCTTGAGTCAGGGGGGACATTCCCATTCCCCTCTTTCGTGATTGCTCCGGGCTCCAAAGAAGAGCGTGGACTAAGCAACGTAGGACCCCCAGAGAACTCTAGACCCACACAGTGTGCTAGGGATGGTCGTGCCAACCAAACGCTTAGGTTCCCTTCAGTTGGGTTCCTCCATGATTTTGGCCTCCTTAGGCCTGGACATTAGGACCCCCTCGGATCTATTTGGAGACCTTTGGGAAGGCCTCTTACTGTCCTTTCTGGCTGTTTCTCTGCACTTGCCCTCTGGATAGAGATAAGCATACAGAGATCTGGGAAGGTGGGTGGGCCCCAAATTCCCAAGGTGCCCCGAGAGACCCTCCACTGTGAGTGTGCTCCGAGGGCAGGCAGAGTCTTTCTTAGTTCTGTGTTTCATTTGAGTGCCCAGCGCAGAGCCTGTGTGAGCGGTGCACACTCGTTACCAAATCAGGGAAGGAATGGACTTACTAGGTTCTTGGTCATCATGTCGGCCCCGTGCAGGAGTAGCAGTTTGATGATTTTGTAGCGGTTGAGCCTCACAGCATCATGCAGGGCACTGTCCCCTTCCTAGAGCCAATGCGACACTCAGTATGGCCCACAGGGGCATGTGGATGCCCTCGGGCTTCCTGCACTCCTGGGATGTGGCTGAGCAGAAGGGGAGCTGGACACTCACTCTGTCCTTGGCATTGATGTCCAGGCCCAGGGATAGAAAGTGCTGCACAATCTCCACGTGCCCCGTCCGGACTGCCACATGCAGGGGGGTACTCAGCAGCTGTGTGGGAAGGAAGCAGGAACCGCTGGCTCAAGGCACCTGGACTGTGGTGCTTCTGGGTGGGAGGTTGTCCAAGCTCCAGCCTAATCCCCTCCCCAAGTCCCAGTGCCAGGGCCTGAGCCCCACAAGAACTGGGAATGCTACCATTTCCACCATGCTATCCAGTGGTCTACCTCGGAAGCATTCGACGCCTCATCCTCTGCGAGGCCTTCGATGGTTCTCCTCTCACCCAGCTGCAAACAGCTGTGAGCTCTGCTGCCCTTCTCTTAATTATTATAATAGGTGCTATTAACTGAGAGGTAACTATGGGACAGGCATGGCAGAAGCTTATAAAACGTCAGCCTTATGCTCAGTAAATAATTTACATACACTTCCCCATCTAGTTATATAAGAATTCTGTAAGACATGTGACAGATACGCCACAGAGGCTCAGCGGCAGACCCTAGTTCAAGGCTGCACACAAAGGAATGAATGAATAGAAAAATGGTGGATGAAGAAACAAGTGAACAGATGAAGAAGTGAACGGAGGGATGGATGGACAGATAGACAAAGGATGATGAAGGATTGCAGGGATGAACAAATCCTCCCACCTCTTTGGGGTGATCCCCAAACCCCTAGTGGATTTCTTCTCACTCTCTTCTCTGTCCTTCCTGCTCCCATCCCCAGATGGTCTCCAAGGACCTACAGGTGATGGCAAAGACCCCTTCCTGGACTCTGCAGCCCCTCTAGAAACCAGACTAGCTCACTATTCTGCTTCCTGGCCTTTTCTGTTCTCTGCCCCTTGCCCTCCCTTCCCACCCATCCTAATACCTGTGAGCATTATTGCCTCACCTTGTCCCTCTTGTTCGTGTCTGCTCCTCGGCTTTGCAGGAGTTTTACGACCTCCAAGTGGCCCCCACGACAGGCCCAGTGCATGGCTGTGCAGTCCAGCTAGAAGGGAAAGATGGGGCTGTAGGGGAGGAAGTGCCCTAGGGGAAAGGACCTCAGTTAAGAGGGCTGGAGGAATCAAGGGAAAGAGGACAGGGAAGGGGCAAGGGCACGTCTATGCTGGGCAGTGGACCAAGTGGAGCAGGAGAACCCTCGGGTCCAAGCCAGGTTTATGGAGGATGGCCCCAGGCCATACAACTCACTGGAGGTGGGGGCTGGCCCCAGAGGAAACCTGTTTGTGTCCCAGGTTGGCTGGAGGGAGGGTCCACTGGTGTTGGGCCCACCTCCTACCTCCCACCCAATGGGCATCTCATACTCACCCGATCCTGGAAGTCTACAGTGGCCCCATGCTCCAGAAGCTTCTCCAGGATCTCCATGTGACCTTCCAGGGAAGCTCGATGAAGTGCTGTCCGGTGGAACTGTCCCCAGAGAGACCGTCAGGGCCTGATTTCTGGCCTCAGGCTGAGAACAGACCTTACCAACCATTTTGAATCTGATCCCTGTGTTTGGTCCCCATCGTTTCCATGTTCTGGCAGCCCTTCATGTTCTATCCAGAGCAGCCTTGGAACCCTCTTATATCCTGGGCACTCTGACCTTCTCACCCTCCCCCACCCCCAAGCACATCAAGCTAGGCCTTGACACGGGCTGTTCCCTCTGCTGGGAATGCCCATTTTGCCCTTACTTCCTGTGAGTACTTGATGAATTCTTGCTACTCCTTCAAGAGGCGGGACAGCTCAAGTGCCATTATTTAAAACCTCTAGGCCCGAGCTGGCCCCAGAGGTCCCAGAGAACCTTTCAGAGAGGGTATTGGAAGGGAGGCCAAGACTTACTAGACTGTTTCCCCTGGGTGCCTAGCCCAGGGCCAGAAGGGGCAGGTGGACACCCATGCCTAATTCAAGGAAGGAATGAACTTCAGCATTTTGGTTTGGTCTCTTGAAACCCTCGGGCCATGAGGCATATCTTCCCATAGTGAAGATATGGTTATGTGTGGATCTCCCCCTTCTCTCAACCCTGGTCTTTCCTTTTATGTACTCCCAGCACCCGGCACAGGGCCTGAAGGTGGTTGGTGTTTGGATGGATCAAGAGGACTGAGACTCCTGAGTCTCAGGGAAGGGAAAGGCCATGTAGTCTAAGCCCACAGTAATGCAGGCTGCAGGGGATGACCATTAAATTTCTCAGTCCCAGGAGATGCATGTGAAATGTGAAAGAGGCAGTTTCAGGGAAAACAGAAGTCTGAAGGGCGATGGAAACATTTTGAAAATCGTGGTGATGGTTGCACAGCATGGGAAATATAATGAATGCCACTGAACTGTACACTTAAAATGACTAAAGTGGTGTGTTTCAGGTTATATGTATTTCGCCACTATACAACAATCAATAAGTTTTAAAAGGAAGTGTAAAATACTATGCAACACAAAAACAATATCATATCCTGCATGTGCTATAGTTTTTTTCTCCATTCACTAAATACTAACTGAGGCATTAATATTCCATTTGAGGGACGCCTGGGTGGCTCAATTGGTTGGACGACTGCCTTCGGCTCAGGTCATGATCCTGGGGTCCCGGGATCAAGTCCCACATCGGGCTCCCAGCTCCATGGGGAGTCTGCTTCTCCCTCTGACCTTCTCCTCGCTCATGCTCTCTCTCACTGTCTCGCTCTCAAATAAATAAATAAAATCTTTAAAAAAAAAAAAAATATTCCATTTGATCCCTGTGACATGCTCCGAGAGAAGCAGGTCGTTTTACAGAGGAGGAAACTGAGGCCCAGAGCTAGCCAAAGGTCACATAGTTAGGGAGTGATAGAGATGGGATTTGAGCCCCAAATTCTTGGTTTGGGCTCTTATTATTTAATTCCATTCCCCTTTCTTCCCTAGAAGACCACATGACATTTGTTACTCTGGAGGTAGTTCAAGGTGAAAAGGGCCTAAGGACTTAGATAAATTCCTGCGTGGGCAAGGGGTCACCCAAACCCCTGCCGAAGGACCCCCAACGCCTGTTCTCAGGCCCACAAGTGGGCGGGCGGAGTGGGGAGGCAACTCTGAAAGGGAAGCAGACAGAAGGTACATGTAGAACTTCACCTGATCACATGCGTCCGGGGAACCCCCGTCGGCCAGGAACTTCTCAATGACCTTCATTTTCCCTTCCACTGCCGCTTTCAGGAATGTCTCTTCTTCCACAGGGCAAGTCTGGAAGGAACGAATGCAGTCATGGATGGCTGGCCTGCAGTGATCAGAGGCCCTCCTGGGCTCCCCCCGCCGACACAGGGGTCCTCCCCAAGACCCTTACGATCTCCTCAGGCTCTGGAGGTGGCTCCTGGGAGGCCGCCAGGGCTTCCCGCTTCTTCTGCTTGCGTTTTTTCCGCAGCTCGATGAGGTTCTGGATCCCCCCCACGTCAATGATCTCCCGGCGAAGATCTAGGGACGTCTTGCGCACACGCTCTTGGCCCTGCATGGAGGTGGCTCATCAAACCCCATGCTGGGGCCTTGGGGACCCCTGAGTCAAGCTTGGGGAGATGGATAGGGAGAGCTTTTCAGGAGAGGGAGAATCCAGATGAGACCGGGACACAGACGGCTCCAATCAGGGGACAAGGGGAGACTTGAGGGGACGGCGTAGAAGCTGCCAGCTTTGAGCCTTCATGTAGGTGAAGGGTAAGAGGAGGGACTCTCAGAGGTAGCCCAGCCCTTGAGAATGGAATCTGAATCCTCAGCTTTCCATGCAGTTTCATGTGTGTGTGTGTGTATGTGAGATCATAAACAATACAGAAACAGGGGCGTCTGGGTGGCTCGGTCAGTTAAAAGTCTGCCTTCGGCTCAGGTCATGATCTCAGGGTCCTGGGATCCCTGCTGAGTGGGCAGCCTGCTTCTCCTGCTCTCTCTGCCCCTCCCCCTGCTCGTGCTCTCTCAAATAAATAATTTTTTCAAAAATCTAAAAAACAAACAAATACACAAACATAAAAGGGTTGAAGAGAAAGCCCTTCTCTCCCAGAGGTAACTTCCATTATGTCCTGGTTGATGCCCTTCAGACAAGCATCCTTTGGGATCACCCTCCACACTACTGTTCTGGAAACTCTGGTTTTCCTCTCAGCAGCACAGAGGTCTCTGCTGTCAGCACACACAACCTCCCAAGCCCCTTAACACGGTTAGAGGGCCCAGCTATATTGCTATCCCATCAGCTGGGGCTTCCAAAATGAGTCCATCCCCTGGGATCTTGTACATACACAGATTGTGACTCAGCAGGTCTGGGGTGGGGCCAAGATTCTGCATTGTTAGCATGCTCCTGGGGTGGGGGAGGTGCTGGGATAATGGGTTTGCATACTAGCTAGGGGGAGCAAAGCCATAGCTTGCCTGTCCTGTCCCCTGAGTGCAGAGGTTGGGCTCTCCTCACGCTTACCTTAACCTTCTGTAAGGCCAGACTCTGAGCCCCGTGGTGCTTCTCATCCTCCAACACCAGCATGTCCATGGGCAGCTTGTGCTGTGTGGTTCCTCGGAGTTTCTGGTGAGCCAAGGAGAGGATGTTCTCCAGCACCTGCCCATAGTACTCAGGGGGGCAGGTAGCCTCTCCCCCAACCCACTCCAAGGACACCCCAAGGACTTCCTACTGTGTGACATCAGAGCACTTCAGAGCCCCACTCCCGACTGGTCCTGGAGAGCCAGCTCCCATAGTTCTCCAGCTCAATCCTACCCCAACCTCAGCTCAAACACCTGTCCACTGGTGGTCATGTGTCCTCAGCAAGACAAGTTTAAGGGCTACTGGAATGAGTTTTCGTGAAATTAAATATATTCACTTTTCAAAGCACCGAGATGATGATGATGATGATGATGGTGGTGGGTGGTAGTGATTTCTTTGTTGCCATTAAAGATTCATATAGATGAAATGATTGTGGTAAGAATTGATAGTTATTTTTTTTTAAAGATTTTATTCATTTATTTGACAGACAGAGATCACAAAGAGGCAGAGAGGCAGGCAGAGAGAGAGAGAGGGGGAAGCAGGCTCCCCGCTGAGCAGAGAGCCTGACGCGGGGCTCGATCCCAGGACCCTGGGATCATGACCTGAGCCGAAGGCAGAGGCTTCAACCCACTGAGCCACCCAGGCGCCCCCCCCCCCCTCTGTTTTAAAGGAAGCCACTTTTTGTGACAGGCTCACACCCATCTCTGTGTGCCGGGAAACTTCACCCTGGGGTAGAGGACACAGAGTCCGGGTGGTGGCTGGGAGGAAAGGCCCACCCTTACGGAGCTCTCAGCTGCTTGTACCTTTTCCACTGAGCTCTGGTGGGCCACTCCTCTAGGGCTGTTTTGAGGGCTGATTTCCCCGGTCTTCATTTGGGAGGTCCTGGTGCCCACTGGCTGTTCTCTTCTGTGTTGGGCTTACATGGTTTGAGGTATCCCCAGGATTGGCATCACCTGAAACACTGCATCTTCTTCCAGGAACAAGAGATGACCTTGGGCTGCAGCCTGGGGGACCCTGGCTGGGTTCCTCATGGAGCATCCCAAGGGTAGGCTTGGGTTGCCATTAGCTTGGTAACCCAAGCACCTATGATGGGGTCTAGCATACAGCAGGCGCTCAGTGAATGTTGAAGAATAAATGAGTGAGTGAGTGAATGGATCACGACGGGGGGCGCTCAGCATTTTTGCCCACCCCTAAGTCCTCAGGGATGACCTGACCTAGTATGCTCCCATGACAGAGCCCAAGCCCTGGGCTTCGGGATTCTCCTTTGCCTCCCACACCAAGAAGGGGGAGCAGGCTGGACAGAGGCTCCCCTCTGAGAATTTTGCTGGGCTGGGACTTGGTGGGAACAACTAACGACTCGTGCTCACATGGGCCTTACCCAGACTCTCTAGTCCTTCATTTCAGATTTGTCTCTGGGGGCTGACACACAGTCAGTACTCAGTGTTTATTGAACCGGGTGCTAGTGGGTGAAACACAATGAAACAAATGCCCACCTTACTCTGTAGATCATTGTACAGATTAAATGAAAGTATGCCTGGGGGCGCCTGGGTGGCTCAGTGGATTAAAGCCTCTGCCTTCAGCTCAGGTCATGATCCCAGGGTCCTGGGATGGAGCCCCGAATTGGGCTCTCTGCTCAACAGGGAGCCTGCTTCCTCCTCTCTCTTACTCTCTCTCTGCCCTGACCCTCTCTCTGACCCTCTGTCTGTCTCACCCTCTCTGCCTGCTTGTGATCTCTGTCAAATAAATAAAATCTAAAAAAAAAAAAAAAAAAAAAGAAAGTATGCCTGTACAGAGCTTAGCACAGTGCCTGGCACGTGGCAGGCATTGGTGAGAAGGGTGGCTCTGTGGGCACCCGGTGTCCCGACAGCCGTGCTGCTATATTTGTTGGGTGAATGAATGGATGAGGACAGCTCCGTGTCCCCCTGCTGAAGGTCTCTGTGTCCAATGCCAGGACTCCAGAAATGGCACAGCGGCGTGACTCACCTACCTGGCCCCAGGAGAGAAGTGGCATTCCTGGAGATCCAAGGATGCCCCAGCCTGGACTCATTGGGCTCAGCCCAAACTCTTCCCCCACAAGCCTGTCCCCCTACCCTCCGCCTCTGTTTTACATCTCTTCTTCCACCAGAGTCCTGGTCCTTCCCTCTTCCTCACCCCTATTCAGCCACTCTTTTGGTGAACAGAGCCTACTTCCAAACTGAAGTGAACACAGCCTACTTCCAAACTGACTTATCTCCTTCCTCCCATTCCTGTTAGGGCCAGTCTTTCGCCGATGTGTCCTTCTCAGGCTGTCAGAGCTGTCTTTCTAAAATAGGTCAGATGGTACCACTCACCCTCACTCAGCAACACTTAGTGGCTCCCCATTGCCCAAAAAATAAATATCTTTCCCATGGCCCTCAAGGGTTTGTACCCAGCCTTAGGCCCTACCAGACTTTCTCACAACAGTCCCACCATCCCTCACCTAAACTTTTTAGTGCCTGTCTTTTCCTTAGCCTGGAATTCCCTCCCTCTCTGATCTCCACTCACCAGCCTTGAAGGTCCCACTCAGATGCCATCTTGTTCCCAGGGGTCCTTTAGCACCCACAGTCAGAGTGACTCACCTACCTTTTGTTCCCCTTTCCTGCTGACTTAACAGCTCTATTTCACCATTGCCTCACTCTGCCTGTTTCTCTGTGGACTATGTCCCTGGCAGATGCTGGCTAGAATGACTGTAGGGCTGGTAAGGAGGAGGCAGGGGCTGGCCCTACTGAGCCTCTTACTCCTCACAGCCCCTGGCACTTGGCAGAGCAGACTCTAAGTCAAACAGTAGTTTAAACAGAATGAAGAGTAGACATGGCTGCACCTTCGTCCCCTCTCCCCACTCCTTTTTCCCAGAGAAAATGCCAATTGCCCAGAGCCTCGTGCTCCAGTGGCCACCCCGAGTGCAGCTGGTCGTCCTGGGAAAACCCATGCTTCCTTTCCCAGCACCGCTTCCTTGCTCTGCTCCCAGTCTCTATTCTTCAGGGACCAAATGCAGGAGTTTCTCCTGTCTCAGCCTCCCGCCCAGCAGCTGGGAGTTCTCAGGGCCCCAGACTCCCCTATTCTCAGGCAGCACCCCAGCTGTCCTGCTCTAGTGCAGCCTGGCCCACCTCCTCGAGGTCCAGGTGGGTGGCAGGATATCAGGAGCCCAGCTTTGCTCACCCACCCCACCGTCTCTCAGTTCTTGGGGGTTGAAGCCTCAGTCTCCCACTGGCAGCAAGCCCCTCCACCAGGAGCACCCTGGGGCTGGAATGGAGCCATCGGGCCCCTGGGGACATCTGCCCTCCTTCCTACCACAGATGCGGCAGCCAGGCTCTTACCTCCCTTGACAGTAGAGCTGGATCTCCTTAGAATCCCCTTGGGTCCCCACACCCATGCCTGTACCTCATTCTCTTCCTCCTGCGCCAGCCGCTCCTCGATAAGCGCTGTGGCCCTCTGCACTGCCTCGGAGCCCTCCATGGCGCCGTCTATCGCCAGCCTCTGCAGGCCCCAGGGCCTCGGGGGCTTTATAAGCCAGGGCACCCCCCCCACCCCCACCCTGCTGGGCGCCTTTGCCATGAGCTCACTGGCCCAATTCTCCACCTGCCTCCCCCACCTGTCACCTTCACCCCAGGCAGCCCCAGGGAGCTGAGGGAAGCAGGGGCAGTTTGCCCCACCCACCCCCAACCTGTTGGAGCTGAAGGGCCCAGCGCCCCAAAAGAGCAGGGCTGCAGGAAGGAGCCCACCTAGCCTCTGTCCTGAATGCTTGGGTCGGGCTGGGCCTTAACGGTGGCAGCTGGGCTGCACAAAGGACCCACTGGCTGCCCCTAACCCTGATGACAGTGCCACCTGCTGGACGCCTGGCAACTGCCCACTATTGTCAGTGAGAGGAACTGTGACAACTGTGAGGACCCAATGGAGGCCTGTGCCCCCAGCTGTCCTGTGAACAGACTCTGCTTGCTCTGTGGCAGGGCCGACTCTGCTATATTGGGGCTGGAGTGTCAAGGTGGTGGGCAGGAGTAAGAGCAGGTGCCTCCCTCTTCACTCAGCTCAGGCCGGCCTTTGTGTCTCTGGAGTCCCACAACGCCCCCTAGTGAGGTGTCGCTGTATGTGCCTGCCCGTCCATCAGCCTCTGACAAAACCTTGACCCTCTGTCTGTCTCACCCGGCCTCTGCAAAACTTAAAAGGTCTTGCTTCAGGAAGGGTGTCAGGAAGCCACCTTAAAAGGACCAGAGTGCAGTCCCGAGCCTTGGTGACGTCCAGCCCCTTCTGATCATCCTTCCTTGTCAGGCCACCCTGACGGGGGTCTGGCCATGCTCACTGAGAAGGAAAATATTCTCAATGGAGAAAAAGCAGACCCGAATTTGCTCCATACCTAGAACTCTGGGAGTGAGCCCTGGGCCTCCGTGCGCACAGACGCCACAGTTCGGCAATTCTGTACTGCTCATGCAGCTCGCCCTTAGCTAAAAGAGGTCCCCTTCGGGGGATGTGCATGCACAGTTTCCCCACAGGAAGGGTAGGTACTGGCTCCTTTTCCTCTCTGGTCCCCTCGCTGCTAAGGGACACATGCTCGCAATCTAAATGTGTCCGAGATTTTGCTTTCACATCCCTGAGGGCGCAGGGTGGCATCTCCAGGATTGGGGTGCATACATCAGTCCTGAGGGCCCGGGCAAGACCCTCCCGCTTCCAGGAGCAGACCCGGCAGGTTACTAATACCACCTTCCTGATATGTTGCCTCCACTTTCAAAGCTCGCTCACATCTGTTACCCCATTTAATCCTCCCAGCAACTGAGGAAGAGGCAGGGCAAGTGGCATTGTCTCCACATTAAGGAAAACCAAGTGGGCTCAGAGATTAAGTGTTTTTCCTGAGAACCCATGAGAACACAGGGCCTGGAAAACTAGGAATTCAAGGCTCTCTCCTCTCGGCTGCGACCCACTCCCACACCAGAACTGGTTCTGGGGCTCCACAGAACAGCCAGGGAGCCCAAAGTCAAAGCTAGGCAAGAGAGAAGGTAGGAGCAAAAGGCTTTATTGATAAATATGCAGATATGTCTGTACACAGGGACCTGTTGTGGGCCATGGCCGGGCTGCAGACCCCCCACCACTTGGGTTACAGCCAGGAGATGGCCCCATGTAGACCCCTGCCACAATAGCACAGCCATCTGGCCACCCGCCCCCTCCACCTCTGCCAATTGTGCTGCGGGGCAGGGAGAGGCAGAGGCCGGCCTCAGGCTCCCTGCCCCTGGGGCTCACAAGCCATCCCCTCCCCTCCAGAGGACTGGCACTGGGCCCAGGGCAGAGTCAGGGAGTAGGGGCAGGGGAAGGGGACAGCAGCTGCTTCAGACCCTGAGCAGAAAACCGGAGTGAGCACAGCCGGCAGCACCAGACAACAGATCTGGGCTCTAGGGGCCTCCGGGCTGGCCCCTCGTGGCTTGAACCTGCTGCGGGAGAGAGGCAGGGTGGAGTGCCCCCGTCTGCCTTTTCTCCAACAAGGCTGGCAAAGCCTGTATGTGGCAGCACTGCTTCCTGGGTGTGGGGCCCTCGTGGCTCCTGGGCCCCCGGGGAGGCAGGGTCCCTTCATGGCTTGCCCAGCAGCCACATGGCAGGCGGCGCCCCTGAAGAAAGTGACAGCCCTCGGAGGCAGCAGCAGGGTGGGGGGACCCAGCGCTCCGCCAAGAGGCCTCTTAGCCCCGCAGAGGCCTCCACGGCCTCTCTTCCAAGGGGTCCACGGGCTCCTCAGTCCTGGGGCGGAGGGGGCTGGTTGATGATGACCTGGATGACAAAATCTTTCTGGATCTTGGTTTCCTGAAGCCTCGTGCGGTCTGTAAGCAGCTTCCCGGAGAAGAACCACCGCTGCCAGGATGGCTCGATGCCCTCCAGGCTGTGCAGCTGCCTCTTCAGCTGCCCCACCGTGTCGGGCAGGCTGGCGTTGAGCCTCACGTCCTTGCCCGTGGAGAGGCGCACCTTCAGCGGGAACTCGCGGCGCACCGCGGGCGTAGGCTCAGGCGGCTCCAGGCTCTCCTCCTCAGTGTGCTCCAGCAGCAGGTTCACGGGCGGCGACAGGCAGTAGATGGGCAGCTGGTAGCGATTGCCCAGCTCGTCATAGCATTCACAGAGGGTGCCTGTGCGAGAAGTGGGGCAGTCAGGGTCTGCTCGGAGAGCCCCACAGTTTCTGTCTTGGCCATGTGAAGAGACGGGTGCATATGCAAGTCAGGGCGGGTAAAGGAGGTTATTTGGGTGGGGCACCAATCCAACAGGATTAGTGTCTTTCTAAGAGACATTGGGGCTTGCTTTCCCAGTACGTATGGGAGGACGTAGCAAGCACGCAGCCATTGATAAGCCACGAAGATAGCCCTCACCGAAAACCAAATCAGCTGGCACCTAGGTCTTGGGCTTCCCGGCCTCCAGAACTATGAGAAAGAAATCTCAGTTGGGTAATAAGGTACCCTATCTGTGGTATTTTGTTAGAGCAGCCTGAGCAAACCAATACACCTGTTATGGCCATCCCACAGTCCCCGAAACCAACCTACAGTCAGGTCTCTCTGGGACAGACAGCTGGGAGGAGTTCAAGGTGGAATCAGGAACACATGGGGCCAGCATCTTGGCTCTGCCAGGTACTGGCTCTGCCAGGTACTGCCAGGTACTGTTCAATGCTGGTGAATTATGTAACTTTCTATTTTTTCATTTGACAACTCTCCTGAGCTACATGCTGGGTGCTGGGGTTACCAGGGTGAGTGAGAAGGCATGGGCCCTGCTCTCCATGGCTTATACTCTGGTGGGCCCCAGGGGACTTCCTGTACTATGTATTGCACACAGTAATATATTTGTTGTGTCCTGAGCACCTACTAAGTTCCAGGACTGGACTAAAGGTGGTTCTGCATATCTTACTGAGTCCTAACAACCATCCTGTGAGGTGCATATCTCCGCTTGAAAGCTGCAAGTTCCTGAGACTAAAATCGAGAAGCTCCCTGTCAGGGGCGCACTACCAAAAGCAGAGACAGTTGTTAAAACCCAGGTCTGTGGGACGCCTGGGTGGCTCAGTTGGTTGGACGCCTGCCTTCGGCTCAGATCATGATCCTGGAGTCCCGGGATCGAGTCCCGCATCGGGCTCCCAGCTCCACGGGGAGTCTGCTTCTCTCTCTGACCTTCTCCTCGCTCATGCTCTCTCTCACTGTCTGTCTCTCAAATAAATAAATAAAATCTTAAAAAAAAAAAAAAACCAACAACCCAGGTCTGTGACTCTACAGTTCCACCGTGACCCTCCGCTTCACATACTTTACCGTATAAGTCTGTTATAAACTTAAATGAGATACTACAGCAGAAGCTTCTAGCTCAGTGCCCAGCCCATAGTAGTAACCCTCAACAGAAGGGTTCTCAGATGCTCTGTGATCCCAGAGTACCCCGGGCAACTCTAGCTTGCTCTCCTCATGCTGCTTTGAGTTTGGCTGGTGCCTTTCTATGCCTTCAGTAGACAAGCGGGGACTGCGTCTCCCTTTGGTTTGTGTCCCCGCTCCTGGCACATACTCAGTGAGGGTTGCATGAATTAGCAAGCAAAGGGCCACCCTGGCCACCGAGCAGCTTGGATTGAAAACTCCCAGTGCTGGGCCGGCTGCCGGCTCCCTTCCACCCAAAGCGGCCTGGCGGTCCCAAGCCTGGTGGGGACAAAGCCCAGCCCCGCCCGCTCACCGTGAGGCAGGGTGATGCTGGCTCCGTCCAGGATGGCCTGGGCCAACTCATGGTCGTTGGCCTCGGCTGCATAGGCGGCGGCCTTGAGGGCATCCCAGATCTCCTTGCGGCCCTCGAAGGCGGGTGCCGTGTCCCAGAACTCATCCCGTTTGCTCCGCAGCTGCCCGTCGGTCATGGGGTAGTCGCTCTTCCACTTCAGTCGCTCCTTCTTCAAGGGCTCGTTGCGCCCTGCGTGGGACGGAAGGGACAGGCTGAGCACCTCTGAGGCCAGGCTGCACCTGCAGTCTCTCCCGCCCCTGCCCTGCCAGCACCCTCCCACCCCTCACCTCCCCAGCAGGGGCTCCCAAGTATTCTTCAGGCCTCAAGACCCTTTCCGGCAGCATCAGGGGATTAGTCTGGAAACTCCATACACCCAACCGGGAGACGAAAACAGTTTTTGTCAGCAGAGCATGTATCGCCTCCTTCTTTAATTATAAAGGAGTACACGCTCCATATCCTTAAAGACCCGGCAAGAATGTCCATGTGGGAGAATAAGGGCGGCCATTGGTGGGGCAGGCCGGGCACTTCAAACCCGCTGCTCATCTTGTCCACAAAGCCCGGCAGATGGGCCGGCTGTGACCATGAGAGCCTGTCATGTGCCTGAGGTCACACGAGTACAGATTTCACACAAGACTTTGAGTGCTGAGGCCACCCTCTCACTGCTGTCTGTGCCATGCTGCCACCGGGGAAGAAATGACTCCAGAATCCCACTATTCAGAAATAACCACCGCTGACACCTGAACATATTTCCTTTTCCCCATTTCTCTCAATATAGTTGAGTTCATATTACGGGTTTTTTTTTTAAAGATTTTATTTATTTTTTTGACAGAGAGAAATCACAAGTAGACAGAGAGGCAAGCAGAGAGAGA